ATGATTTCATCTTACTTGTATCCAAAATCAGCAACCTGGCACCTGCAGTCAGAAGCCCCAAAGACTTATTGCATTGGAAGTCTACAGTCAGGGACCTCTCTAAAGTGCTGATGAACAAGAACGTTAGTTTAAACATGAAGGTATGCCTGATCCAATGCCTTTTCAATTACTTGCTATGCATATGAGAGTTAGTGAATAAAGATGACAGAAGAACAATTGATGCCTTTGAGTTGTGGTGCTGGAGAAGAGTACTATCTCGTGGATTGCTAAGAAAACAAGTATGTATTGGAGAAGGTGTTGCCTGGGTGCTCCTTGGAAGGAAGGATGATGAAACTTTGTCTCACATACTTTGGTCATGTTTGTTTGGAGAGGCTCGACCGAGGAAAATGACATTGTGCTGGGAAATGTGGAGAATCAGTAAAGGGGGTGAAGACTTCAATGAGATGGATTAACACATAGACTATAACAATGAGCTTGAGTGTGACAGAGGTTTTGTGGATGACACCGGATAGAGCAGGGTTCAGATTTGCTATAGCATTGCTTTAAATACTGGTCGACTCAATGGCACTTAACAATAAAAACAAAATTGTCAAGTTACTTGTTTTTCTTTCTTTCCTCTCCCATTCCTGGAAACCATTAAAGACTATTTCTTTCTAACTGCTAATTTCTACTTTGTTGTGTTTTTTTTTTTTTATAGTAGATGTTGTGGAGCTGAGTACAATTTATAGTGACTGTATGAACAACAGATCTGAACCTGTTCTTTTCCGTGCCATCTTCATAATTTTGGACATACTTGAGTCCATTGCTGCAGTCACTGTGTCAATCAATCTCATTGATGATCTTCCTCCCTTACGCCAATGCTCTACCTTTCCAAGCATGATGTCCTTCAAGGAATAGCCTTTCTTAGCAACAAGCCCAAATATGTGAGATGATGCTTTGCCATCCTCTCCACGGAACTCTCTGGCTATACTTTCTCCAAGACATATCTGTTTGGTTTTGTGACAGTCTTTGGGATATTCTGTACTCTTTACCAACACCACAACTCAAAGGCATCAATTCTTATTCTGCCCTTCTTATTCATTGTCTAGCTCTCAGATGCAGAGGAAGGGATTGGAAAGATCATGGCCTGACTCAGGCACACCTTCATCCTCAAACTAGCATTGTTGCTCTTTAGTAATTTGGAGAGGTCCTGATGTAGTACTTCTGATATCCTGAATGCTGGTACCAAGAATTTTGGCTGTGGATCCAAGTAAGATGAAATTGTTGATAATTTCAATATTTTCTCCAATTTTAATTTTTCTTCAAAGATTAAAACTGTCAATGAGGGGGAGGGCTGGGCAGGGAGAAAAGTGCAACAATGAATAAATGGAAATCCAAAATCTCTGTAAATGTTCATTAAAATTAATAAAATAAAAAAACCTGTCAATGAAATCTTGTAATAGAGGTCTCATTTATTGACTGACTTCATTTAGTAAAATGTATTCTAAATTCATCTATATTATGCAATATTTCATGAATTCTTTGCTATTCTTTAGTGTTGCAAAGTATTATATTGTGTATATATATCATGGTTTGTTTAATCATGCTTCTGTTGATGGGCACTTGGGTTTCCATCTTTTTGCTGTTGTAAAAAATTATACAGTGAACATGAGTTTGCATATATCTATCTGTTCATCACAGCTTTGGTTTATTTAGGATATATACTTAATAGAGGATTTGCTAGATCAAATGATATTTCTATTTCCGACTTTTTAAAGGAAGTGATAAACTGCTTTCCATGATGATTTATAGGCCTACCAGCTTAAATCTCTCTACAGACTTGCAGTCTTTGTTGTTTTCTGTCTATTGTGGCTTATTTTTAATGCTGGATTGAGACAGTAGCTCATTATTGTTTGGATTTGCATTTATCCAAGTGCTAATGATCGTGAAGAAACACATGAATTTCTTCATGTGTTTGATGACCATATCATTGTCTTCTTTGATAAAGGGTCTTTTTGTAACTTCTGCGTATTTTTTAAGTTGTTGGATTTTTGTTGTTGTTGAAATGTTGGAGTTTTCTGTAGGTTTTAGAGATTTCCCCGCCCTCCCCCTATTGTTAGATATGCAAGTGGCAAAAAAAATCCTATCTCTGTGTTCTCTTTATATTCTTTTGGAGAAATCTTTTGATGAGCAATAAGGATTTAATTTTTACAAGTTCTCAGTTGTATAGTTTATCTTATGCTGTTTGTACATTTTTTTGTTTTAATAGTCTATTCATGCCATAGATTGTTGTTAGAGGCCATCAGTTCAACTACAACTCATAATGACCCAATGAACAGCACATCTGAACCCTGCCCTATGCTGAGCCATCCTCACGAGTTCTGATATGCTAAACTCATTGCTATAGTCACTGTGTCAGTCCTTGTCAAGTATCTTCCTCTCTTTCTCTGACTGATTCAGGGTAGGCCAGCTATAAATTTTTTCTGACCCTATGGCCATGTTTTATTGTGCATATGCAGAACCTTTACACGAACCAAAAAGCAGTTATTTGAACAGAATAATGTGAATACTGCATGGTTTAAAGTCAGTAAAGGTGTGTGTCAGGAATGTACCCTTTCTCAATACCTATTCAATCTGTATGCTGAACAAATAATTCAAGAAGTTGAAATATATGAAGAATATAACAAAAGGATGGGAGGAAGACTTATCAATAACCTAAGTTATGCAGATGACACAATATTGTTTGCTGAAAGTGAAGATTTGAACACTTTCTGAAGAAAGTTAAAGCCTTAAGCATGAATTGTAATTGAACACCAATTATAGGGTAGGGAGAAAAGAGGAGAGTGGGAGGGAAAAGGGGAGGTGAGGAAGAGAGGAGAAGAGGAATGGGGAAGGGAAGGGGAAGAGGGGATAGGAGGATGGGGTTATCCTGCAGCCCCTGCTCTGCTTACCAAAAGTGGCTCACTACGTACTCACACTCCACACCTAAATCCACACCAATGAGTTTGGCTTCTCAACCCATTTAAAGTTCGAGAATTGGTTGAGATAATTTTGACCCCAAGACCTCTAATCATTCGCTTTACTGGATGAAACTTCATAGGGGGTGTTGTTGGAGAGCCCCAGCTACCGTGAGGAAACTTCAGAGGGAACTAGCTACTAGAGGGTTCCATTAGTCTTTTGCCTCTATACTCAGGACTGCTCTGGATCTCCACCAGAGTTTCCTCTGGCTTTATCCTGCCCAGGCACACAGTTCACCATCTTTCCGGTCCTAACACATCCGTTCTTGCTCCACCTCCCCGAAGCAACAGGCAAGATGCAATGGGCTCGTCTGGTGAGCACCAGGACTTCACCTTCATTGCTCCATGGTGGCTTATGAGTGAGCCCTTGACTCCCCCACATTAAACATTTTTTTGAAAATTGATTTTCATGCAATAATTCATTTATATCGTGTTTCATTCATATACATTGTGTTCCATACAATCCCTTATTTACATTGTATTCAGACAATATTTATATACATCCATATGTATATGTATCATGAATTACCATTTCTCTTTTATACCTAATATTATACCATCTTTTCAAGTCCCCATCGAATCTTGCCCATTCTCTCACCTTCCATTCTAGAATGGAAGATACTCGTATATGTGATAGATAGGTAATGAGAATTAAATCTTTGGTTTTAAGAATCCAAGATTGAGAGAGGTTGTTTGTTTTCATAGTATGACACAGTTAATCTTGATGATGTCTCACTTTTCCAGGGCTATGAAGGGTAGGCCAGTGACTGCACTATATACATTTGGAGAAACAAGAACTAAAGAGCAAAGGAAAAGGAGGAGTACTGAGATTAAACACTGTCATCACTTTGGTGGTGGAGATGAGAGGCAGGAAAAATCTGCTTGGTAGATTTTAAAAATATTTTTAAATTTTTTTAGATTTAAAAATTTTTGAGTTTTTTAATTCTCTGTTATAAAATTGTTCAAAAGGCTGTATGGGAGTTTTTATTGTTCCTCAAATATATTCCAACATTTATTGCTTCTTCTTACTTTAGCAATTTCCACCATTATAAATACTCTCAGATTTCTTCATTCCTTATACCTTTATATCTAAAAACTCAGGCTAATTTTCAGGGTGATCTTAGATATTTTGCTTCCAGTAGTCTTTTTTGAGTTCTCTGTCAAACCCAAGTGATTTAATCTTCTTTGAGGCACTTACTGTTGCTATGTGCTATTGAGTTGACTTTGTCTTATCTGAAACCTTCCCTATCCTGTGCCATCCTCACCATCTCTGAAACCCTTTAACCCATTGCTACAGTCACTGCGTCAATTCATTTGTTGGAGGTCTTCCTCTCTTATGTTGATCCTTTACCTTTCCAAGCATAATGTCCATCTCCAAGGACCAACTTCTTACAACACACTCAAAGATTATGAGACAAAGTTTCATCACCATCATTGCTTCCAAGGAGCACTCTGGTTTCTTTTTCTCCAAGACAGATGTCTGCTCTCTTGGATACTAATAGATATTTTAATTTCTCTGACATTTGCCATAGTAAAGTTTATAGATGATTATTTGTAGGCTAGCATTATTACAGTCTATTGTTACAATCAATTATTTTACAAAAATCTGGATTGCTAGTAGTACCAACCCTGGGAGTGAATATACATTTGGTCAAGATTTTTTAAAATTTTTTATTATTTGTGTGTGTGTACCGTCAAATCAGATCTGACTGGTACAAGAGGAGATTGTCCCTCCTTCCCAGGCAGAGCATCTGGTGGATTCAAACTGTGTGCCTCTGGGATTGCAATGCAGCTTCTTGCCACTAGGCCACCAGAGCCCCCCTTCATTTGGTCAAGATTAAAGACAGAAGCCAAGTATTCTGACACCCAGGCCAGTGCTTTTACTACTGTGCAAAGCCGCTCCTCATAATGTCTTGGATGCCATGTGGGAAATAGGCAAAATGAAGGAAGAACTGTTCATCTCTTAGGCATCTCTCAGTTCTGACGTTCTGTCTTTTTGTTTTGCTATGATTTAATTCTGTTCTTTAACTTCCCCAGACCTCTCTTCATATCTTTGTTTCGAAGGCTGTAGATGAAAGGATTTAACATGGGTGTCACCACTGTATACATAACTGTGGCTACACGGTCTTTCACTACCGAGTACATAGACAGGGGCCTAAAATACACATAGATGATACTCCCATAGAACAAGGCTACTACAGTGAGGTGGGAGCCACAGGTAGAGAAAGCCTTCCACTTCCCAGCTGCAGAGGGAATTCTGAGCACAGTAATGATAATCCGCAGGTAGGAGAAGAGGATGCACAGGAAAGGGGTTGCAATGACAGCCAGGGTCTCAGTCATGACCACAATCTGGCTGGAGGAGGTGTCAGAGCAGGATAGCTTCAGGACAGGCTGGGTGTCACAAAAAAAGTGCTTAATGACACGTGAGGCACAGAAAGACAAGCGAGACATGAGTACCACCCGGAGCAAGGCATGCAGGTGGGATATAGTGCAAGAACCTATTAACATGAGCAGGCAATGCTTTGGACTCATGACCACTTCATATTGGAAAGGGTTGCAGATGGCCACCAATCTGTCTATGGCCATTGAGGCCAATAGGTAGCTGTCAGTATTCCCCAAGGCCATGAAAAAGTACATCTGGACCAGGCAGCCCACATAAGATATTGTCTTTGTCTCTGATAATAAACTAACCAGCATCTTGGGCACAATGACTGTTGTGAAGCAGATATCCATGAAGGATAAGTTGCTGAGGAAAAAGTACATAGGTGTATGGAGTCTGCAGTCAGAGTGGATAACTAGAATGATGAGCACATTCCCCACCACAGTGATCAGGTACATGATAAGGAAGATGGCAAAGAGAGGCGTCTGTAGCTCAGGGTTGGAGGAGAGGCCTAGAAGAATGAAGTCTGTGTTACTGTTACTGCTGCTGTTCTTTATCTCCATGTTTCTGAACTTTCTGGATGTTGTTTAGAGGAGCTATAGGAGAGGTGATGTAAAAAAGAATTTAATCAATACAGACTTTTTAACACTTCTAACAAATACACACACACACACACCCTGGTTTAGAGAAATGGGCAATCTAATTTAACAAAGGATAACTTTAAATAATTTCAAACTACTTCCTAAATCAGACATTAAATATTTCCCAAATATTCATGGGAACTTCTACATGCCCTAATTTGTCTGGTTCTCAATGATCTCTCTTATTCCCTTTGAAACTTTAAATTATGAAGTCATTGAAAATCTACACAATAGTTGGAAAAATAGAGTTCTTTTAAATTCTTAACTCACTTTCTCTAACTTTAATGGGAATCCCATAACACTTAATTGTGCTCAAATGAAACCTAAACCTAGACCAAGAGCCTGTTGTGAGAATAGACCAAAGGAAACTATATGATTTAAAATTAAGAAAGGCATTCATCAGGGTTGTATTCTCTCTTCATCCCTATTCAGTCTGTATGCTTAGCAAATTATTTGAGAATCTGGACTCTCTGAAGAAGAATTTGGTATCAGGATTGGAAGAAGACTCATTAATAACCTGTTATGCAGTTGATACAACCTTACTCACTGAAAGTGAGGACTTGAAACACTTGCTGCATAAGTTCAAATACTACAGCCTTCAATATAGATTGCATCTTAATGTTATTAAGATAATAATGTTTTTGTTATAAAACAAAAATTTTAATATCGTACATAACCAGGTCCTTTTTTCCTTTAAATTGTTGAAATATACATAGCAAAATATGCGCCAATTCCATGTGTACAATTCAACTATTTAAGTATGTGCAATTCAGTGACATTGTCTTCATCCTTCAAGTTGTACAAACATCCTCAGCCTCTTTTTCTGAGCTATTCATCCCTCATTAACTTAAATGCACTGTGCCCTAAATAAAGTTCCCACTAGTTTTCTAATTGGTGTTGTAAATTTGATCCCATATAGGTAGATCTTAAAAGAGTGTAAACACTCAAGAGAAACCTTTTTCATTAGTTAAGTGAAACAATTTGATTTTCAAAAGAGAACAAACTAATCTAACCCACTGCCACTGAGTCAATTACAACTCTCCACAATCCTATAGGACAGAGTACATGTGGCCCACAGGGTTTCTAAGGCTGGACATGTCTATGGAAGAAGGTTTCCTTATTTTAATGTTTATTATCTAAGGACAGTAGTTACAAGAGTTCACCTATCTTACATGACTTCAGAAAGTCATGTAAGAGTTCTTGAGAATTTGAAATTCTATTTATAATCTCCTGCTCATAGTTGAGAGAGTGTGGATTAGACAAAAATGAACATCAAAACTAATGAAAATTACTTGGTACACCTAGAATTATGCTGAGTTTTTCAGGATTTTCAGAACAAAATTTCCTCAATGCTTATTTAAGTATTTTGGTTTTGTAAACAATATTAAGTTTGGCAATGCGATTGCCTACTTTAATTATTGATTAAGGGATGACACAATAAGTATACTGCATGAGATAGGCTATATTGCTGACCTCTATTCTTTAACTGTATTTTCCTTCTGAACTTTCAAATATTACAAAAATATACACTTAGTATGCAATAGTTTCATTTCTCCAGCATCGTGAAAAAGATGAGACAAAGATGACCCGACATCTATTAATCTATATTGTTCAGATAGAGATCTTAACCAGTGAAATAAAAGTAAAAACATAAGAGACTTAAACATTGTTATTGTTGTTACGTACGATAGATTTGCCTACAACTCACAGCGACACTATGGACAGATCTTGCCCTATCCTGAACCATTCTCATGATCTTTGTCATGTTCAACCCCATGGTGGTAGGCAACTATGCCAATCCATCTCTTAGAGCATCTTTCACTTTCTCTTTCACTGATTCTACCTTGCTCAGCCTTATGTGTTTCTTCAAAGACTGGCTTCTCCTGAAAAATATGCCCAATATAAGTGAGATAAAGTTTCACTTCACCATCCATTCCTCTAAAGAATACTCTGGTTGTACTTCATTCAAAGATAGATTTATTTATTCTTTTGGCATTCCATAAGATATTAAATAATCTGCACCAACACCACAGTTCAAAGGCATTAATTCTTCTTCTGTCATTTGTGTCTATAGTCCAATTTCAGGTGCACTGGAAACAATTAAAAATACCATGATTTGGATCAGGTGCACCTTAGTCTTTAAACTGGCATCCTTATATTTTAATTTTGGAGAGGTCCTTGACAGAGGATCTACCCAATGTCTTTCGATTCTTGACTGCTGCTACAATGAATGTTAATTGTGGATCCACGTATAAAATGAAATTGTTGGCAACTTCAATCTTTTCTCCATCTATCATGATGTTGCCTATTGGTCCAGTGGTGGGGATTTTTGTTTTCTTGATGCTGAAGTGTAACCTATATTGGAGACTGTAGTTTTGCTCTTCCGCTACAAGTGCTTCAAATCTTCCTCATTATTTGCAAGCAAGTTTCTGCCATCTGCATAATGCAGGTTGTTAATGAACCTTCCTCCAATCCTCTTGTCACATTCTTCTTTACATAGTTTGGATTTTTGCATGGTTTGTTCTACACACAGATTGGATAGATATGGGTAAAGGGTATAATCTTAATGCACAACTTTCTTTATTTTAAACCATGCTTTGTTCTGTTTGGACATCTGTTACTTGGTATATATGTAGGTTTCACATAAGGACTATTAAGTGTTCTGAAATTCCTCTTCTTCTCAATGTTACCCATCATTTGTATAAAACACAAATAAACATCTTTCTAGTATTCTCTGCTTTCAGCAAAGATCCACCTGACATTGGCCATAATATACCTTCTATGTGCTATGATCCCTTCTGAATTATACTTGGATTTCTACAATTCCCTACCAATGTATTGTTCTCACTATTTAAAAATAATAGTTAGCAATATTTTACTTGCATGTGATATTAATAGTATTATTTTATAATTTCCACTTTCTCTTGGATCACTTTTTTTTGGAGATGGGAACAAATATAGATTTTCTAGTCCATTGTCTACTAGGTAACTGTTTTCCAGTCTTCCAATATTTGTTGACACAGAATGATGAGCACATCAGGGATTGCATCTGTTTTCTGAAGCACCTCAACTGGTATTACATCAATACCTGAGGCCTTATTTTTTGCCATTGTCTTCAGTGCGACTTCAGTACTATTGGTTCTTGATTATATATATGCTACTTCTGGAAATGATTGATTGTCAACCAACAAAACCTTTTTGATATGGTAACCGTGTATTTCTTCAATCTTCTGATGCTTCCTGAATCATTCAAGATTTTCACTATAGAATCCTTCAGTATTGCAACTTGAGTCTGAATTTGTTCAGTTCTTTCATTTTAAGAAGGCCTTTATGTGTATGTGTTCTTCCCTTTTGGTGTTCTAATTCCAGTTCCTTGCTCATGTCATTGTAATACTTTGTTTTCTAGATTTGCCTTTTGAGATCTTCTGTTCAATTCTCTTACCTTAGCATGCTTTCCCCTTGTTTTAGCTTCTTTTCATTCCAAAGCAAATTTATTAAAGTTATACTGCATTTTTTTAAAAGATGGCTAAAGTTAGCCAGCATTTAGTGAACACTCAATATCTCCCTTATGGTACTTTGCATGTCTTTCATCAGTCTATTCATGTTCCAAGAGGCAGACCATTTTATGAATGAAAAAAGGAATAGTTTAGCAAAATTATTAGATTCCACAAATTAGCAGTATGACAGCAGATCAGGAGCTATTCATTGCTAAATTATGATAGAATTGTTACTCTACTGTATTTAACTGTGTGTTAAGGTCAATCTTACTTTTGTAAAAAAAATGTACATGCTTTATACGTTTGTTTGTGAGTGGTGTGTGTGTGTTTATACTTGCTTGGTTGTCTCTGTATAGATGAGATTGAAAATGCTAGAACTGTGTTCATATTTTAAAGTTTGCTTCCCCCCACCCCGCCCCGTAAGAGCTGAAACTTAATGGGTCTGTCTTGTTTCTCCAAGTCTCCTAAGTTTTCTACCTTCTACATGGTCCTGTCTTGACATTTTTCTATCTCTCATTTTAGTGGCAAATATTTGAGTTATCTTTCTATGACAGGCTTCCATTTTACATAGGTTCTAGATTTCACAATGATTATTGTTTTAGGTGCAGGAAAGAGATCAGAAAGTCTGTAAAGCTTTCTTGCTCTACACACAATGTTGTGGGTGTTATTGGCTGTTGAGTTACTTGTGTCATCGTAACCCTATACATGAAGAGTAAAATTCTTTCATAGGCTTTTTAAGACTGTGATCCTGTGGAAGATCACTAGACTTATTTCCCAAGGAACTGAGGGAATTCAAGCTGTCAACTATTTAATCGTTGTACAGTAATTTACACCACCCACTGATAGTATTACAATTAACATTTCCCCCACATATTTTTGCTCCTGCAAGAAAATTTCTGTGCTATTGAATAGACTCTGAAATATGGAGTGCTTAGCACGAATTTGTTGTTGTTATGTGCCACTGAATTGGAACCAACTCATAGCTGACCCTCCAATAAGTTTTCAAGGTTGTAAATTGCACATGATTGTTTATCTTTCTCCTATGGAGCATCTGGTGGATTCAAACAATGTGCCTTGGGATTGGTAGCACATTTACCATTAGGCCACTAGACATTACTAGTTTGCTAACATTTTAAAATCTACAGATATCGCCACTCTGAGACTACTATTCTTGCTCCCATAGATGGGAAATGTGTTTACTGAATGCTAATGGCCTCTGTTCCCATTTCTTGTACTTTTAAAGCTTGATCTTTTTTTAAAAGCTCTCCAAAATCTCTCCCTTCTGCCTAGTTCTAACTCCAATACCAGACTAGGGCTTTATTTCATGTCTTTTTGCACCAGAGGAGATTACTTACATTCTGATTCCCTAATAAGTGTGGGTGAACTTTATGGACAGACTTAAGACCTTACTCATTAATGTCAAGTAGGAATGGCTCATAGCTGACCCTCCAGCAGATTTTCTGAGACTATAACTCAAGTTACAGTGTTGAAACTCATGTCCTG